AAAGCAATCTTGGCATACTTGTTCGAATAATGAGATATCCATAAATTTAACATATATACTAATTCTCAGCTAAAAAAAATTCAAGATTTTAGAAAAAAATTTAAAATGTTTTTTTACATTGATCGAAGAGTACATTTTAATATTTATTTGAAAGGCTCTTTCCAGAATCTTAGCAGAAAAGATCACACTCCCTACACATATAATTATAATTCCAGTTTTCGATATTCTAATATTCCAGGATACAATTTCTATTATCAAAATGCTGGCATTTTTGTTGGTGCAATGCCAATACTTCTGACACAGGTTAGCAGCTTTATTAGACTTCTTGGCTCCCTTCAAAGTCTTCCTACTTTTTTCCCTGACACTCTTAACATCCTCCCTACCTTCCCACTCCCCTAGAGAAAACAATAAAGAACTACATCGTAACAACAGGAAATTAGACACAGAACTTGCAGGTGCATCTTTCAGGAACAGCTAAAATCACCCCACAGTTTAGATCATCACTTTTGGTTGGCTGACAAGAAAAAATAAGTTTCCTATAGCCTAGAGCTCTCTGTCAGGGCAGAATAGGTATCCTGCACACTACAAGGAACCAGTCATACCTAAAAAGGCAGATACAAAGGTATCCTTATCAGCATGGCTTCTTATTTATTTGGTTCTTTCTAAAAAATAGGAATTTAAAATATTGGAGTTACCATCAGTTTATATAATGAAAACACTTATTGACAAAATTCTTCTTAGTGTTATGTTCTATATTAAAATTCTGGTTAGGAATGCAACTATTTAGAAAACCAAACATGAAAGAGAGGCTTCTGCATTTCTTCCTTAAGTGGTGGCTGCATGGATCACATCTCATTTATATCTCCTTAAACCTATTCAGATCAAAAATGAGAGAAAATCTGATAGAAACACTCATAACCTATGCTTAGATTAAAACCAGGAAAACAGGGGCGCCTGGGTGGCGCAGTCGGTTAAGCGTCCGACTTCAGCCAGGTCACGATCTCGCGGTCCGTGAGTTCGAGCCCCGCGTCGGGCTCTGGGCTGATGGCTCAGAGCCTGGAGCCTGTTTCCGATTCTGTATCTCTCTCTCTCTCTGCCCCTCCCCCGTTCATGCTCTGTCTCTCTCTGTCCCAAAAATAAACAAACATTGAAAAAAAAAAAATTTATAAAACCAGGAAAACAGAGCAGCAAACTCCCAACTGACATATCAGCTGGAGTACGAACACCTGAGCCCAAACTAGCAGAGTCCAGCAGGAGCACTATGGAAGAGGGGGGTGTACAGAAGAATAACACAGGTTACAGTTCACCCCAGAAGGGCAGAGCCCCACCCCAAGAGTGAACTACTAAGGATAGGTAAGAGCACTGGCAACAAAGTGGCTAAAAGGAAGGGTCTTAGAAAAGTATCAGGGATTATAAATGACAGGCATGCTACCTGGAAGGGATGGGGAGCACCCTGGGAGGCATAAGTGTCCCTTGAAAGTAGCTTCTGGTTATAAAGGGATGAAAGCAGGAATGCCTGGGTGGCTCAGTTGGTTGAACGTCCGATTTCAGCTCAGGTCATGATCTCACACGGCTTGTGAGAGTTCGAGCCCCGCATCGGGCTCTGTGCTGATAGCTCAGAGCCTGGAGCCTGCTTCAGATTCTGTGTTTCCCTCTCTCTCTGCTGCTAAACAACTCTCATTCTGTCTCTGTCTCACTCAAAAATAAACAAACATTGAAAAAGAAAAAAAAAATAAAATAAAATAAAAAAAAAAAAAAAAAAAAAAAAAAAAAAAAAAAAAAAAAAAAAAAAAAAAAAAAAGGGGGATGGAAGCAGCTAATAAAAAAGGTCCTAATTAAACAAGATGGAACTGAAGAATCAGAAGGTGGTAGGCCACATAACCATGTATTAAAGAAATTGCACAACAGCAAAAGAGGGACTATTCGATCAAAAGACCACTAAAGCCACCCAAACTTCTCTCTACTCCCCCATGAGATCTACTAATAGGTCAGAAAAATCCAACCAATAGAAACATAAATGAGAAAAACATAATTCCAAAGTCCAAATAAAGATATTATGAAACAAGTATAACAAATAAGCTAAATTCCTAGCAGAAAAAATGTATTCTTGAAAAATTCAGTTGTGAAGAATGCAAACTGTGTAATTCCCACATTCCAATATGAAGATAGAAAAGAACACCATTAATCAGAAATACAAAGATCAGGAATGAACAAATCTGAAACAGAAATGGGAATACTCAAACATACTCAAGAAATATGAACATAAATTTGGAAACAGAAGGTTAATATATAAGGTGACCAAAGGAGAAACAGCATAAACAACATTTCTACTAGGGACACAGACATCAGAAACAAAAGAACAAGAAAAATGAATTTAAAAAACTAAACAAACAAAAAACCCACAAAAAACAAAAACAAAACAAACAAAAACCTAAAGAAATATGCACCAAAGCAGAATACAGAAAAAGATTACTATTTTTAACTACATAAACATAAAAGCTTTTACTTGGCAAAAAACAAAAACAAAAACAAAAACCTAAGCAAAGTCAAAAGATAAACTCGTAAAAATATATTTGCAAATTTATTAGGGTTAAACAGCTAATTTAACATATAAAGTTTCTAAAAACAAAGAAAATAACCAATAACTGAGCAGGAAAAGGAGTAAGACTATAAAGAATACAAATAGCTCCTAAGTACAAGAAAAGATGCCCATTCTCATACATATTGAGGAAAACACAAATTACCATTTCTTAACTGGCAGACAGGTAAACATCAGAGTTTAAACACCACACTGGATTTGGGAAACTGTAGGAAAAGGGATACTCATATATTGCTGGTGGGAGTACAAAACTTTATAATTACTGTGAAGGAGAATTTGGCATTACCTAGCAAAAAAAAACACATGTATCTACAATTTGATATAACAATCCCATTTTTAGCAATTAAATGATACCCATACATACATATGGAATAATCCATGTACGATGATTCACTGCCACATTACTTCTAATAGCAAAAGGTTAGAAATAAACACTATGTCCTAATAATCTATACTGCTTTCACACAATGATAGTATTTAGCCATACGATTTCTTATAAAATGGCTTATTTCAGACCTCGAGTTAAGAATGCTCAAGGGTGACCTAAAAATTTCAAAATGTAATGAGGTGATGTTAAAAGCATACCAAAACTAAGCTGTTTGAATATCACTAAGAATAATGAATGTGAAACACACTCAACATATAAAAGTCCATGAGTTCATAACAATATTCAGAAAAAATCCAAAAAACAAAACGAAACAAATTCACCCCACCAATTAAAATCCAAACTCATTTGTCATCACTGAATTATATCAACTCCTTACTCTAAAATATTTAATACATTTTATTATGCCTTTTCAGTAGAACTGTTTCTCAAGGTAATCAAATAGCAACCATTGATGAGGAAAAAGAATGGCAGGTATATATGTAGAATGAACAGAAAAAATTTTTTTTCCTAAATCACCATTTTGCAACCCCCGGTGAAACAATGGATTCAGGCAAGAATACTGATACTAAAAATTAGAAGAGAGACAGATAGGAGGTTTTGGGACAATGATGGTGGCAGAAACACAGTTATTTTGTTTTTGCTTTTCTTTCCAATCTTCCTAATCTTAATCTCTCCCATAAAATCAGAACTAAGTGGATGACAAAAGAGAAGACCTACAGAGAGCACCTATAAAACTAGGTAACAAGATATCCCCCATAAATCCTTGCGTGTAAGTGAAAAGGAACACCACTGACACTACAA